CAACTCCACCACAGCACTCAGGCTGAGTGCCGTGGTGGAGTTAGCTGGCTGAGTGACTCAGCCACCTTACGTTTTACCCGTCGAGGTATATAAGTACTATATAACAAACATTATTTAGGCAATAATCGTTTGGTGATTTTTATACCTATCGGGCTTCGCGATATTTTACTTGTAGAATCAATGTTTGAATAGAGCAAGTTTATTAACACGCAAATATAATATCACCAATTTATAGATCAATAAATGAATAAATTTTAAAAAATAGCCAAAATTCAATCAATTTTAGACCCATTTTCCTGATTCTGAAATATGTCCTGTAGGATTATAAATGTTATAGCCAGCCTAGTATAGAGAGAGAAGAGAACAATGTTAGTAGTGAAAGATATAGGTGATATGCAGAAAGGTTACTAGCAAATATTATACAAAAAAAAAAAAAAATCGTAGGCAGAGAAGAAACTGTACCAATACAAAGAAATACAAGAACACTACAAATATGACTGAAGAAGGATGTCAATAATAAAATATGACATTTGCAATACATTTCATCATGTAGAAGTTAGTGAAGCAAGATTTTTTGGTTTTTAGACCAGGAGTGGCAAACTTTTTTGAGCATGCATGCCATATAGTAAGCATACTTAGCTTTAAAGATGTTTATGTTTAGATGGCTGGATGGCAGAGTGGTCAATGTGGCAGCCTACCACTCTGGCGAGCCTGCGATTGAATCAGGATGGGTCGAAAAATCTTCAGGAATTTTTTGGGGTGGTCCTCATATAACAAACTCTCTCTGCTCCGCCAAATGGCACTTTAGTCTATAGAGTACAAAGAGGCTATGCCTTAATCATAGGCCTGGTATGGCACCCAGTAATCACTGAGGTGTCTGGACTTATAAGGTCGAATCTGAGTTAAGTGCTCAGGCTCTGGTGGTACTACCCAAGCCCACCAGTGGCCGAGCGGTCTTTATACCCTGAACACTGGGAGTTCGGTTGTGGGTTTCCGCCTCGCTCGGACAGGCTGGCCATGTGGAGTTTTCCAGGTTTTCTCCATGTCTGTAACACCTGAATAGGGGCCAGTTTCCCTTAAAAAGACCTCCTGGAAGGCATCCCCTAGGCAGATCGCCCTATGTTGTGTTGCCGTAACTTAAGAAACAACAACAATGGTACTACCCAACAGGGACCATCCATCCTCACTCCCAAGTCCAACCCTCTTACATGGATAAATGTTTTGGTGCAGTCTGTACTGCACAGAGTTCTCTAACAAGGAGAGACCGGTTTTTATAAATGGTCAGCAGGGTTCCCTCCCCTAGAAAAGGGGGCCTTGCCCAGTACGTCCACTGAACTTATAGGTCAAAGAAGCCTATTACAATTTCCATCAATTCCTTTAGTTTCAATAGGTTTCCTTTACTTGCAGCGATTGTTCAAAGTACTTGTTCAGAAGGCTAGACCAGTCAACCGGAAGTCCTTGCTTAGAGGACAGTCAACTACCATGTCTCCGAGAGGGCACCAACAGGAGCAGCTACCATCTCTTTATCCGAACTTGGACTTGAAGTGGGGAAACCTCCTGTGTCCCGGTCAGTATTTGCATTATGTACCAATTACAACTCACTGGAGTTTGCTCAACTTCAGACATGAAGGTGTAGGTTGGCCCATCTATAGTACTTTGAGTCCAGCACTCTTGCCAGTATATCATAGATCTTTGCAATAAAGTACCTTTTATGTAAGAAGACAAAGGTTCAACTCTGTCTTCATTACAAATGGGCCCCTGGCTGCTTCCTTGGCTAGTTGGTTGGCGTGCTCGTTACGCAGAATCGCGATGTGGCCTTGGACCCACCTCAGGTCAACGTGTCGTGAATGCCTCGCACTCAGTACCCTAACTCTGATCTTCTGTACCAACTTGTCCTTATGATACCCGTCACTCAGGGCCTGAAGCGATGACTGGCTGTCAGAGTAAACCATGACCGACTCTGTACCCGGATGTTGTAGGATCCACTGGGATGTCCCCTCCAAGGTCACCAGTTCCGCCTGGAACATGAACGCCTACTCATTCAGTCTGACTGACTGACTGTACTCTTTAACTCTGTCACAAAAAACGCAGTACACAGCACTTACTAGGATACCGTCTTTAGAGCCATCGGTATATATTTCAACATTGCTGTTTGTCGGTTCACTCCATAGACACAGTTTCATTACCTGCAGGGCGGTGGGCCTCTGAACCATTAGCAGCATCCTGCTGTGTTTGATGTTGGCAGATTCCTTCAACCAAATACCAAATCACACACTCTTCCACCAAATACCAAATCACTCAGATCGCTTCTCCACTAAGACTGTAGTCCTGTCTAGCTAGTCTCAAAAGAGCCGCTATTGTGACGTTTGTTCTTTCTTGAACACACCTCAGATAGGGCATCCAGTATAGAGTCTAGTGAGGTTGGTCCATCTGGATATGTTGGGACCCATCCCTCACCATCCAGCTGCCCCATTGTGAACCTGGATGCCAACCATAATGAGCTTGTTAAAAAACAAAGATGTTTATGCATGCCAAAGTTTAAGACTTCAAATAATGATATTTATTAAACGAATATGCTTTAAATTAAACGAATATGTTTTAATTACAATAAATGTAAAAATCTGATTGTAAAGGCAGATTAAGAAGGATGATTGAAATCATATGATAATGTTTCGTAGCAGATGATTTCTCCTTACTTGCCATAGATTTGCCACCTGACTTAAACTAACTAATTGATCTGTATATCTTGTTTTGTTTAAAAATTTTAAAGTGATCCTCTGATTTTAAGATATTTTAATAAACAAAATAATAATAAATAAAATCATTGCAAATTATGAAGAATATAGGAAGATCTTATTTGCTATATTCTTGAACCACTAGGTAGCTGCTTTGGGGCCTAATTTATTTCTCCTTCATAAACACTATGCTCTAACTTATCTATGAATGCATCATCATCATCAAAGATGATATCATCTTTGTGTTACTGAAGTAGCACAATGATGTATTCTATACATTTTTGTGCTACTTCAGTAACAACTATTTTTTATCTCCTCCCATAAATAAGTGAAGACAAAAAAACCAGTGAGGTTTTCATGTCACCAGTTTCTTTTGTTACAAACCAGAGCAAAAATCTGATTTTGATTTTGATGGCATATGAAGTAGGGATTTTTTTCAACATTAAACCTTATTGTAGACAGTATTTTGGTCCTGCAAAGTCTGTTTAACTCTGGCAAGGCATAATAGATGATCTGAGCCACAGTCTGTACCCAGTATGCTTTAACTGCTTGCATCATTCCTTTTTCCCAAGTCATAGTTGCCTGTGATGTTTGAATCTTGTTTTTAAACAAAACAAGATACACAGATCATTTTAATTAAATTATTCATACACAGATCAATTAGTTAGTTTAAGTCAGGTGGCGAATCTATGGCAAGGAGAAATCATCTGCCACGAAACATTATCATATGATTTCAATCATCCTTCTTAATCTGCCTTTACAATCAGATTTTTACAAACTTACTTTTGCATTAAAGTTTCTTATAAGGTAAACTAATGCTCATTTTAGAGACCTTCTTTACCTAGATGTCATCAGAAAACCATTCACTCTCATCATCTAAGATACCTTTATGCTCACACTGAGGAAGCATTGAGGTGCATCATCTGATGCACCTACACTTGGATCCACACCTGCAGAATGGTGATGCTTTGCAGTTTCCTATGCTATGCACTAATAGGAATCATCATCATCTGGTCGCTTGTACTATGAAAACTCCAAGCATCTTGAAACTTTTCATGCTTGTTATAAATGTTACTTGTTCATTGTTGATATTAACCATTCTCAGAATAGCAAACTGTGAAATTGTCTGATTGAAAATATTCACTCAGACAATTTGTTTATTCCACTACATATCCAATTGAGTTCATTTATGCCAAGTATGCTGATATTCAGTCTCTGTCATTAAACCTGAAATGCATATCCTTTAAATTATAGAAAATAAACCTACTTTTTCCATCAAAAAGAGAGTTCCTGTGTGATTTGTTCTCAACAGCAACCTTGTGCTAATTCTGAAGGTAATACTAAAAAATATTTTGTTTAAGATCTTATAGCAGTGCTACTCAATCTATGGGTTGCAACCCCAAATGGGGTCGTGGAAAATTACCTTGGGGTCACACTGTTAAAATGTTTGAATACCATTGCCTTATAGTATTCCCGTATTGCAAAACTTTCAGAGTCACCCTGTAGAATGCCTTTTCCCAAACTTATCACAATGATCACAAATGACTAAAAGTGATTTATTGATTGATTAGTTTTTCAATTTTTGTTTCTATATATTAATTCCAATATGCATGTTGAATGTATTACTTGACACTCCTACTATGTCTGAAATGCATATTGGAGTTAATACAAAGGAATAAAATAAAATAAAAAAACAATTACTTTAAGTCATTTGTGTTCATTGTGATAAGTTTGAGAAAATGCATCCCAATAGCTAAAAGTACAGTACATCAAGATTATTAAAAGCAAATAATTTTATTTTAGTGTGATTTGCTTCTTAACTTGAAAAGTATTTAATAAAAACATATTGAAAAAGTATTTACAGTAAATGATTGCTACTATTGTTAAATTATATTATTAAGTGACTCTAAAATAATAAAGAACTATTAATCAAATTATTTTCCACCTTTTATACAAATGGTTTGCACAAACCTTTATTTTTGTGAAGCACATATACAAAGGGAGATTTATTGATCAAGAAGGATGACATTGAGTAATATTTTATATAAATTTAAATACAATTAAAAGGCCACTCACTGTAATTAATAAAATAATATCATAGTCAAAATAATCACATTAATTAATATAATACATCAATAATACTGCATGTATTTTTAAAACAATACACAATTACAGCACCTCATTATTTTATAATTGTTTTTAATTTTGTTTGATGGGATGTTAAAGTCATTTGTATATTGTAGTGGGTGACAAAAGCTTCTTATGTTTTTTTTCTTTTGATAGAGGCACAACAGTGAAGAGCACGGTGCAACAACAACAAATATGGCCTATAGCCATCCGTACAATACAGATGTCTTTGAATATGTTGTTACCTTGATGTTACTTGTTGTTTTATTTGAACTCTGATGTTATTAAGCGACCCTTTGTTTAGCCTACATAGAAGGCATGAAGTTCATATATCATGCTGAAATGTTTAGTTGCTGGATGCCCAAGCTAAAAAAGAAAATTAAATAGATAAAAGTTATTATTATTTTCTACTTATTATAGTTATAAAAAGTTATTTAGTAATTATTAAAATAATAAATAATGAAAAAGAAAGATGAATTTAGAGCTGAAAATTAATATTAAAGTGCTAGTTACTTTGTCATCAGACAACTAGAATGATATAAACCAAATCATCAATTTATAGATTCAAACTAATTTATATGAGATTGTAGTGCTTTGCGACTATTTTCCTTTTTTGTTGTTTCGGTTTTTCCCTCACCCCTTTCGTTTTTGTTCGTGGTGCCACCTGTCCCCAGTTCACCATATATTGGCAGCTGGATTGGCCAGCTGATGTCACGTGTGGAGGCTATCCGCTGTGTAGGATATATAAGGTCATGACCCACGTGGAGGAGTACCTTTTGGCTTCCCGATTGTTCCTGACTATGGTGTGCCAGCCATGTGTGTAAGATCGAGACGTTGAGCATGGGAGACCTGAGGACATAGGGAGACAAGACAGCAGAAATCGGTTTGCATCTAAATAAGGACAGTGTGGCAGGGGATAACAATTAGTTCAAGAGAAAGAAGACCGGCTGAAGATTCATAGGCACAGATTAGTTCTTCTTCAAATGTTTGTACACGGCGGAAGATTGTCGTGAGTAACTTTGTTAATTAATATCTTCTGTTGTTACACATCGTTTGTCACCCGCGTTGTCACGTGTCGTGAGCCCCCAAAGTCGAGGAGGGAAAGAGAGGAAAGGCATAAACGTATGTATTGTTCGCTTGTACCACTTGGATATAATACATTATTGTCAATAGTTCGTGTCTTATGTAATTATCCCGTTTGTACCCTAACGAAAGTTAATTAAATACTAAGTTATTGTTGAGCCGACTTGTCCGTTGTGTTTTGTCTGAAGCCCTGCGGACTTGTTCTACAGGAACCCTACAAGATATTTCATCAGATGTGTTTTATTGGATATTGGAATATTTTTCTTAACACTGATACAGATCAATCAAGTACTGTGGTTTAGGCACAAGATTCACAGTGCTACAGTAAATTTCATGGTCTCACGTTCTTGTTTTTGAATTTTTTATGGCCAAAAAAACTAGTAGTACATCTTTTAATTTGTTCTATTATTGCATTGTGGCTGTCCGCCATTTTTGTATATACATAGTTATAGTATTTAGATTTAGAATTCTTTGTTCTTTCCTTTCCTTCTTCTTCTTTCTACTAATGACCATTTCCGGTCACCCGACAGGAGCGGGAAATTCGTGGGTCCTGATTGGTGGCTTATCGACGTGAACAGGGAGGGGCCCTGCCCGTGGGGTACAGAAGGAGAACAAAGGGGTGAGAAAGACACTTTTTGCCCGGGTGACGAAGAGAAGAGGTTGCGAAAGTATCGTCGGGACATTAAGTCGGACCTCGAGGACAAAGAACAAGCCGAACGTGCTGAGTATCGAGTAGTCCTAAAAGAAAAGAAAAGGACTAGTGACTTGTCCAATAAGAAATAGTGGTCTACAAAACCCAAGTGACAATTATCATACCAGGAATGTTGGATATTCCAATGTCGATCGACAAAATCCCCACAATCATCAGAAACCACAATCAGGACCTCCTGTGCTAAATACCGGTATACTTTTCCTTCCTTCATTTTCCTCTCCTTAGTGTAGTGTTAGATTTAGTTAGTTATAAGTTAGTAATTAGAATCCGTATCGTGAGAACAACTCATTGTAAGAATCCGAACGAGAACAGAGACTTGTTATATATATCTATCTGTGTATGTGTCTCTGACGGGCATCACTGTATTACCTGTTAATTCTGGTTGTAATAAACTATTGTTTAGTTAGTATTTGTTGGAATAATTGTCTCGTACATCCTTAACTTTCACAGCATCCTAATATAATTTTACCATGTCTTATAAAACTTACAACAAAAAAAAATGTACAAAAACAAAGTAGTAGTTTTGGTCAGAATATTTACTTATTCTTCATAATCTGCATCAAATTAACTCAAAATCTGATTATATACTAGGCTCATATTAATTTTTTAATTATTATATTCTAAATTAGAATCCAAAAATAATCAATTAAGAAGTCAGTAATGAATGCTTCATTTGATAATATTTAACAATTGCCAAAGCTAAATAATTGATTAATCAATTACATCCAATTAATCACCCACTTTAGAGTCACAAACATTTTGCCAGATTTGAAGATTTGTTGGTGATATTAAAAGTATGTAATTTAATCGGAACATATTTTTAATTTACAGTACTATCACATTTTATTTTCTGAGAACCCAGCTGGATGGTACAATAATAGAATCCATAATTTACAAAACACATTTTAAAGGCAATAGAGAGGTCGCGGCAAAGTTCAAACGTTAAACTTGTATGGCAAGCAGAAGTACACATTTGACATTTGAACTCCAAGTAAAACATGTTGCACCACACGTTCACATCATGCACTGACTCATGGGATATTGTTAAAAAATGGTGGAAACGTTTAACAACGACAAATATTACTAGTGAAGGTAAGTAAACAAATTTAACTATTTTAAAGTATTTATAGGATGTTTAATAACACTAAATAATTATTTTTAATTAGTGTCATGTCTCCTACCGTACAATAGGACTACTTCATACTTTTGTTGAGGGAAGTAGTGGCTTATGTAAATCCAAAAGCAGCTCAGAAAATTATTTTTAGAAAATTTACAAACATATTATGCCATTGATGGTAGAAGATGCCGTGAAAGAACAAACCTACTCTTATAGAATTATGATAAGCTATTATGAACAGAGATATATAAATTCTATAGGCACTTCACATCACTTGCAAAAAAATTGAATAATTAAATAATTTCTGGATTAAAATCATCTGTTTCTTTACAATATTATTCATAAATGCTTAAATAATCATTATTTTAATAAAATATGTCATAATTTTGTGTTTGAGAATCATAGAAAATTATAAAACACAATTTCAGAAAATTGAGAATTGTTTATAGTTTGTTTGAAAGTTTTAGATTGGATATACAATATTCAGAAATTTTAAGCTTCAATGTTTTGAAAATGTCTATCTTCCCATTAATTATATTTGACAGGAAGTAACCTATTTCGTTTTATTTTCTATATAAATCACTATTTTTTTTATTTAAAATAATTTCTTACCTATTATAATTATAATGATGATTATCCCAATGCTGATCATGACAGTAAGCATCTGAAAAATTGAAACTTATTTCAATATAAAATTTAAATAATATACACTATTTTATAAATAGATATAAATTTAATGAATAATAACTTTTGGGTTAATGTGTATCTAGATAGTCCAAGATGGCGGAACTTCGGTTAGGTTAGGTTAGATTAACCATATTTTTAGCAGACGTTTCCTTTTTTTTATATTTTGTTCAAGAACTACCGTGAATCAATAACTAGTGATGTTTGGCACTCTCCCTTCTGGGAAGAGTCCGTTGGGCCCATGAACAGTCAGAAGTGCTGCCATTGGGGTTACCTAGGTACACATTAACCAACTTTTGTTTAATTATAAGACTGGGTTTGGATGGGCACTCTGTTGCACCACTGAATGCTACCACTCATTCACATGTACTAATGATTCAAATGCACCAATAAGTAGCACTTCTCACCACAGTTTTAGATGAAAAAATTTATCAACTGTATTTGTATTTACATTTTATATTTCATAATAATATATATGAGGATTTTTAAAATAATCTTTTCAGCTATCTTGGTGTGATATTAATAAAGAATTTATAAATTTTGTTATACAAATTATTCATATTTTAAATACCATGAATAAACAAATTTGAATTAATGAATGTGATTTAGTTTCTGTTTTTAATAACAAAGTAAATCAAAAATAAACGAGATCAAAATTTCTACTACTACTAATTTCTTTTAAAAATATTGGAAAGTAATGAGGATAAAACAATTACTGAGACTAAAATACCAACTGACAATGATAGAGTCATAAGCTGTTGCAGAGCTGATTGGTAGGTTTGTCAAGATCACCTAGTGTCCTTGGGTTAGTTGCTTGATGTAGCCATGGAAAGTAGTCCATGTGAAATGCCTCACACCACCAATGACATCCACATCACCAACACATGTTAAAGCACATCTTCAAAATATAAGGTTTCAATGGGGAGATGAATGGACATGATTGAGCAGTACCATTCACAAGGAGACATACAACTTGCAAATCTTGCTGAATCCACTATTGATAGGGATAGTGTTACCACCTGTCCGGTTTTCACCCGAACAGTCTGGGAATTGACTCACTGTCTGGGTGAACTATTAATTTTGTCCGGGAATTTTGTAGAAATTATGATCTTAAAAATTATGAAATTACGATGAAACAAAGTTCTTGCAAATATTTTTACAAATTTACACTATTTTAACAGTGAAAGAAGTCACACTCACTGAAATTCATCTGCAATTCTGCCATGTTAGTTAGGTCTGTTTATGTCAACGTGTGGTGCGCAACCTGTCGACCTTTTTTCTTTTTTTGTTTTTTGCATGTACGATCGTACATGTCTCCAATATCCAATAAAGCAGCTAAGTCATCTGTACCTGTACTTTCTTAATTTAGGTTACTCCTACATAAGTCCCTAGTCCCTAACTGTAACTGATTTAGAACCGCCATGCCATTATTCTTCGCATTGTAAAATGACATTGCACATGCGTCAGGAACTTCTATTCAAACAAACCTGACCTGTCGTCTGGGTCAGCAATTTTCAAAGATGGCAACACTAGATAGGGATTAGTTCAAATAATGCTAGAAAAAAACTAGTGGAAACCTAACGGAAAGTAAGATTGAGGTAGTTGAAGTGGTTGTCATTCCAGAAGTGATGGAAGCATAGCATAACTTCAATTCATACCAGGTACACTGAATGAATGAATGCATGTTATCTTTCTGACTACACTTTTAGCAATATATGGTACAAAAGTCAAAACAAAATTCTATCAGACAAAAATCTTGGTGGTCTGTCTATGACCCACTTTACTTTTTATATAAAGTACTAGCAAAATTCTTTAAGCAAAAGAGCTAATACAAGTGATCAAAGCTTAAATATATTGTCATTGGAATAATGGCTCTGTCTTTATCTCTTGTGTTGTTGAAGTTCTGAGCTGCTCATCATCTCCATCACACTCATCAACAATTTCATTGGGCAGTATAAATTCATCCAAATCTAAAGTTTTCAAACATTTGAATTATATTTCCTGGGCTTGTTGAGCAGATCTAATGAAAGCTATAAGTTGACATGAATCAAAATCTCAAATTGAATCAATGACTGCCATTGACTTACCTGTTATTTACTGGAAAGTCAATTTATTGCTCGTTTAGTATGTATCAGCCAATGGTGCACTCAGGATTTAATCTTGGGAAGTTGAATTGAATGGATAAAAATTTTAATGCAAATTTAACAAAATTTCTACCTTATGTGACTGGTAATTCATTAGTAGTATAGAAATAGAAGACAATACAATATACATAAAACAAATGAATTTTAATTAGGAAAAGATTCTTGGAAAATTTCCTAGTGTTTTTTTCTTCCTTTTTTTTATTGGAAGTTGTCAGGATCCTTGATTCCTTCTGGGTACATCACTGGTGCAATTTCTCTGTAACCATTGATGACCCTAAATATCATCAATTTTGTCCATTGTTGATTTATTTTTGATGAATTGAAGCAAATATTCACAATTATAAATGTTTTTACACAAATCAACACTAACCAGTATACTGTAGTGCCTGAGAACAGAAAATGATGCAACTTATTGCTCAGCACCTCAAACAACCTTTACAGCTCCAGTGGTATGTGTTTACACCTTAACAAACATTTTCAACCTCATTGAGATCTTCATCAGGCTACTTTAATTAGGAATTCGAACGCGTTTGGAACAGAACGTATACGATTCAAAATTTATAAACAGATTTAAGAATACTCATGGAACGTTACGCATGTGCTAAAATGACTGTAACGCACGTGTAATATAAAGTTTGCGTAACGGTAGAAGCAGACGAATTATACACATTCATTTATGAGGATGAGTTCCCTCATAACAAAACTTCTACGCGCTAGATATACCGATTGCAAACGCGTTCGAATTCCTAATTAAAGTAGCCCGATGAAGACCTCGATGAGGTTGAAAACGTTTGCTAAGGTGTAAACACATACTACTGGAGCTGTAAAGATTGTTTGAGGTGCTGAATTATAACTCCTCTAGTGTTGGAAGACGTTTATTTCTTATGCAACTTATTGCCATTTCTGACTGCTGTATTCTCATCTTTACTAATATGACCAAAATGTAGTTTTGTTCAAATCTGCCAGTATGTTCCCTTATCAGTTGTGCAACAAAGTGACTTGTCTGAAGGCAGCCTAAATGTCTTTCTAAAATTTTAGTTATAAAACCAAAATATTTTCAAATATTGTTAAATATTAAATTTTCCTGTGATAAAACTATTATTAAAATCTTGGTTTTGTAGCATTTGTGATTTTTTTAAAACTCTTTCTGTTAAATGAGCATTAAGGGGGCCTTTTTTCAAGCCAACTGTGGGTTTAGCCAGGCTCAAAATGATGTAGCAGAGGTGAAAAAATGGGGCCTGTCACATCTGAGACAGACTCTTCAAAAAATTCTTGAGAGGTTTTCAAATGCCCAGATTTGATGCTGGGTCTCAAGAGGGGGATACTGATGACTTAATTGACTTGACTTAGCCTCTAGTCAAAAACATTTATAATCTGAAGATGCTTTATAAATGTAGCAGAAACTATTGCCCATTGGTCAAACGAAACATCTCTTTTGGGCAAAGATGTGAATGAGACAGTGAAGCTTCTGGATGCAAAACCAAAAAGCAATTTACCAATTGCCAATCACATGAATGAAGAATATAATTTTAAGCAACTTATCTTTCCTCACTGGATGTTTAGTTATCTTCTACCCAGACAATTATTTAACCAGGCAGCTAGTCAACAGCAAGACCACCACCTCAACTATTTCAGCTTTATCTTGAAGTTTAATTGTAGATCATATATTACAGAATAAAGAATGAAAGAAATGTTTGTTTCAATAAATGTTTATGTTAGGGAATAATTGAAAACTTTAATGAAATTATTTTTATGTTGAAACCTAGTAATGGTTCAAGTGATTTAAATACTAAATACAGTCAACTCCCAATTATTCACATACAAGATCAATTACAACTTTGCTTAAATCAACTGTCAAACTGACAAACTATACAGAAGGTCACTAGGTATGTGGATAATAATTATACTTTATAATAAGTATATTTGAAAAAATACTAATTACTATTTTTTTTAATTTATTGTTGTTTAATGAATTTTATTATTGATGGATTATGTTTATATTCATTCTTTAAATTTTTACAAATGTTGTTGGTTTTATATATATATATAAAATAAAAACAATATGTATATATAATACATCAACCAAAGCCAAAATATTGGGCTAGAAACAGAGATAATACTAATAACTTAATAGACAATTTGGCATTAGAGTTAGGCATTAGGCACCATCTCTAATGCCAAATTGTCTATTAAATTATTAGTATTATAGCCATTTCTAGCCCAATAATATTTCGGCTTTGGTTGATGTATAGCTTTAAATGTGTTGGATGTAGTAAGGATGTTTGATTATTTGTATATATAATATATTTTGTGTTTCTCTTCATTATTGTATGCATAATTGTTACAGTGTGAACAATTACAATTTATCAATAATTGTTTATTTCACACACTATTGATTGCAACCATCTAATAAATAATTCTTTAAAGTCTGTAATCTTGTATTTGCAAGTGTAAAGGAACTATTGATGATTCAATGATCCAAAATGCAGAATTTTAACTTTATTTACTCTGATTAATTTCATAAATTATTAAATGCATTTTGGACAAACTTTCATTTTACAACCCCTCATCAGTAACTAAGATTATTTAAGAGATATATTGTTATTGAAAATTGTGGAATTCACAATGATCTGTAATAGGATGATTGCGGGTATGTAGAAGTGTGATTACCGCAAACAATGGGAAGACAATGTAATATCATAAAAAATTAAGTTTATATACAATTAATATGTACAGAATATATTTACAAGTTGCACAATTAGGCTACAAATGGCAACTGATACAAAGTCTATCAGGCAATATGAATTGTTGGTGGATAAACAATTCATTAATTTGA